TTTAAGGAAAGAGTTCCAGTTATACTTATTCAAATGTACAGTGTACAAAACTCTTATTTTATCATTTACCAACAATGATAAACAAACGAGGATATATATATTGAACTAAAGATATTATTTTAAGGTATGAAACTTATCCGAAGAAAACCCCAAAACATCATTCAAAAGTTTCGAGACAAAATGTTCATTATTTACACAATGAAAAATAGTATTGAATTCAAGTTATATGTTTCAGTTCACGTTGCGCTGTCAGTATGAAAAAACATAAAAAACATAAATAAGTGTTCATTGGCAAAACATAAGTACCAACTAATATAGAATGAAGAGAGATTATTTCAATATGTGAAATTTTGAAATCGTATTACTTGGCCTTAGAACGCCTTCCCCAACCCTTAAGCGTTTTCCCCGTTGCCACGACAAGGTTCTCGCAGACACAATCGAAGCAAAAGTTGTTGCAAGGGTGACAATATTCTATCTTAATTCTGCTAGAAGCAGCTAAATCACTCGTGCTTGAAGCAGACGGAAAATAGCAACTGTCAAAAATCACTAGGTGGAGAGCTGACTGACTAACTTCAAATTGAAATCAATTTACTAGAAACGACTGAAACGTTCTATTTGAAATGAAACTACCTTCTCATTTCGAAGGATCGACCGCCAAAGATGGCTCAGGGCATCAACTGATCTCTCTGCAGGGCCTCTGACCGGGAGGACCTAGGGTTCGAATCCCGATCTTGGCAGGATTTTCGACACCACCTACATAGCTCACATATCTGCATAGTACACTCACCTGCACTTCACTACCACACGTGCCAGGAGACAAGTCGGGAGCTTAGAGCTTGTCCCGGCTGGGGCGGTGCCCCGCTGATGGGAGATATCTGGTTGTGGAAACTCCTGCCAACCGACGCAGATCGGTTCGGGATATCGCCATCAGTGGGCGATATCCACCGATCACCACCACCATCTGCGATAAAAAACAACCCATACACTTACATAACTGATGACAGCAGTTGACGCGTTAGGAATCACTAATCAATTAACCGAATGATCGTTTCGGCAAGCTGCTTTTGAGTTGAGGACCACTGCGTGGGAGCAAATTGGCCTGGCGCTGCACTGCGCTGCCGAGCGGTTAGAAGGCGAACAGATCCCGAGGCAGGGGGATGGGAGCCATTGATTTGCGCTTTGAGATTCCTGCGTGATTCATTGGCTGAATACTGATATCTCCAAGCAGCTTCCCAGTCTCGAAATCCTGTCGCGTTTCGCCGCTGGGGCTTTGGTAACTTTATTGCGCGAGCCTATCATTGTACGATCCTGCTTCTCTGTTCTTTTTATCTGCTTCACAGCCACCTCCCCGTTTCCCCAGGGTTTAAAAGAAGAAAATTAACTGTGTATCACATTAGTCATGTGGAAGTATATACTAGAACGAACAATAAAAAGACTTCAATACTCTTCTTCGTAATCTTTTGAAAAGACATTGATCACTTATTACTCTATAGCTACTCGACACAGTTCTCCGCAAATATTTAACTTTAGATTGTGATAAATATCACAAACGTTTTGGAGCGGTACTGTCAGAATAATCCGAATTGCACTATATAATCGTCTATTACACCACAAATGAATTAATTATGTGTACAGTATGAACTAATTATGTCTACAATACAAAATGGAAGTCATTTTGTACACATTCCTGCTCCTTGCTTCCCATTTTCCTTCGCCTCCTCCTCCTCCATCGCACTCCCTCTCTTCACCACGCCCGACTCCGCTTCAACCTGTGTCTGCCCCTCCCGTCCCGTCCCGTTTCCCCCACTCCGACCCGTCTTGTCCCGGTCCGCCCTGACCACGCCTCGCCTCGCCCCGGCCCGGCCCGGCCCCGCCCTATACATGGAGCAAATACACTATTTGAATTATGTACGAGTATGTATAGAAACTGAAAGAAAACCGCTGTTCAGCTCTGACGAAAGTAATTTTCCTGAAATGAAAATTGCAACTCCAACAGCCGGGCATAGGTAAATACAGTTGTAAACCCCTCCCATTCTGTGTTCACGGCTTCATCATCATGGTTCCGTCTGCCCTGTGTTTGTCGCCGGCCCAGGGCGTCGTCAGCGGAGGCGCGACCTCGTTATTGGCACTCCCGCGCCCGCATCGCCCCCCCCCCCACCCCGCCCCGCCCATTGCGTCAGGACGCGGAAGCGACGATGGTGCAAGCACCCCTTCGCTCCCCCATGCGATCGCGGCGCGGCGCTGTGCTGTGCTATGCACGGCGGCTTTCCACTGGCAGGGGAGGCGGGGGAAATTACTCGTACTTCAAGTGGCGATGCGACTGCGAAAGGGTTTTCACGCCAGGCGACGCTGACGTGATGGGGGCTATTCTCGATAACTGTTTCACTTTCCCTTCGTGCGAAATGACGTCATGCAGCGTGTTAAAGACAAATGTGCTCAAAGCATAACGAGAAATTTAAGTGATGCGGGGTGTCATTTGATTTTACTATGATACTCTCACTTGTCACTATATAATGAATTCACTTCTTTATTAGTAGTCATAGCCAAATGTAATTAATGTTTTGAAAATGACAGAAAATTTCTTAACGAAATTGTGATATAAATTTAAAATGATAATTTGACGTTTCGTGAAATAACGAATATTCGTTTTTACTAATCGGAACTTTTTACAAAATACACAATAGAAGCATATTCAATTTCTAGTATTTCATTTACAAAACATGTCACGAATTGTATAATTTGAGTCGTTTAGTTTACGCATGAAATTATATTCCTACAAGATTATGTCGCTTTTTCTTTTTTGAAGAAAGTATAAAACAAGGACCAAAAAATTCCAAAAACCGCACTTTCGCCGCTAATATATTATTCAAGCGGCGCCCCGGGAGCCAACGGTACACTCAGCGCTTTTCGCTCTCGCCCGTGTCGGCGCGCGGCGCTCGCAGGCCCCGGGCGGTTTATAGCCTCGGCATTCCGGCAAACGCTCATCCCTCTCAACGTGACTCACTACATTGCAAAACCTTCGGCGAGTTGAATGTTAGCAGCAAAGTAATCGGTTTCATTGATCCCATTCCGCCACATTACAAATCATAAAATCTCTAACATACACAGGCTAACATGGCATCGTAGACCTTCACGGCCCGAGTCAATATAAGAGAAAATGTACGGGCTGGTAGTCGCCAACCAGCGCCGCGGCCCCGCACACTGCCGCCACTGAGGATGTCCACCGCAGACGCGGACGTTTGGCCCTTCAATGCCAACTGGACCACGGCCTACCAGTATAATGCTCTGGTCTTTCACAACCTCCGACCCACGTTAAGAAAGTTTTACTCCCAAGAACGAGTGCGTGCAGCATGGGGAGTGGGCTGCTCTACACCGCTTTTCTCTAAATAAATGATCACTCGTAAGGTCGGATTCGAATGGCTGATGCTACGAAGAGTCAATGCCGCCAAATTAGAATACTTCGAAATGAGGCACACCAACGGCAATACAACTATTAAAGAAACAAAACTGTTTGCAGCACTCACAGCTGCAACGCACTTGCTCGGAGGGTCAAGTTTCACAAATCATACAAATACAATGCTAAGTTCGGTGAAAGTTGTAGAGCTATCACCTTACAAACCAACGACCATATTGAAAACATCGATGGATTCTTTTAGAATTCGTCTGTACGAAGTCAATTCCAGGAATAATTCCTTGCCATTTATTTCTGCCCATAACTTTTGATTTTTCTCCATTTACTATGGCAATCCCACAAACGGAAAAAAGTAATGCGAGTTCAAAGGATATTTCAAATGATGAAGCTGGATGTGTAATGCAAGTAATCCAACATCCAAGCAATTAAAAGATGAACAATAGAAAATTTGTTGGTAGTAAGATTTGTATTCAATCTATCTGTATAAAGGTAAAAAACAATTAAATTGTTATGTTCTTTCTTCGCGTAAATTAGCTTGTTTAATAGATTAAAGTCCTTGTAGTTCACTTACTTTACATCAACTGTACAAAACTGTACTTTGTACTTACTGTACAAAAATCCTTATCAATTATATCAAAGGCAAGAAATAAGTTCTCATTAAGAAGTCACTCCTCCGAAACCATCAGAAATATGCAACGACTTCGTCAAGGTCACGGCCCCACAAACATAAATTGCATAGAACTCAGTATTTACTTTGCTGACTTCGAGGAGCTGAATGAATCACACCTGCACGCGTTGGAAACATTCTTTCGGGGTAGTTCACAGTTTCCTGTTAACATTTAAAAGTCCATTAAAATTTTGATGTTTTGAATAGAATAAAACTAACTTCAAATAGAAAATATATCTTCAAATAGTAATACTAAAATGCATTTCTTTGCTGTGTTTCTGCCTCGACCACTCCATGTTATATAACTATTTGAAAAAGAATTTTATCGATACTTTAAGACAATTACATTGTTGAATTGTTCGCCTTCTCGACTATCCGAGGCCTGCTCTTGGAACTTGCCCGGAAAATGCTTCGTCGTCCCAACAACCATTTCGTATTAACCCAGGCATTGGTAAACATGCTTCCACGCCGTTATTACATTTTGTTGGAAACTAGACTCGGCATTGATATAGAAACTGCCCTTCTGTAGAAGTAGGAGATCTGGGCTGTCCGCGTGACGCCGCGTCGAAGGCTGAGTTGCCGACGTTTCGGCCATCCTGTCGTGGTCTTCCTCAGGGCTGGTATACCCCCCATACCAGCCCTGAGGAAGACCACGACAGGATGGCCGAAACGTCGGCAACTCAGCCTTCGACGCGGCGTCACCCGAACAGCCCAGATCACCCACATGACTCTGGCCGCGGAAGCCTACGACTTCATTTTCTGCAGAAGTAGTTAACATGTCTCCTCATTTTCCTCCACGACACGCTCACTGTGGCGCAGAGCGCTACCGCCGACGGTAACACGTACAATCGCGCACGCGTCGCGTTCTCCGGGGGCGGTAACGGGCCGCGCGTTGCCACGGCGGCGGCGGCGGAACCGGTCATGGCCGCGGGCGGGGAAGCCGCGCCCGCGCCCGTGCCCGTGCCCTCCGCCACCGCCGTCCAGCCGGCCCGACGGACGGACGGCAGAACTCACGACCCGGTGAAGGGAAATGCTGTAGCCGGCGCGAGCCACGCTAGTGCGGGGAAAAAATCGGACCATGAACATCGACGATTATTATTTGTGTGCACGTTCATGTAAGGTGCCGCCGGTGAGGTCGGTTAACTGCGGATCCTAAATGTCGCTAGCGAATGGGAATGCGTCTAGTTCCCTAACAGAAATTACGCACATTGTATTTCAGTTGCAGAGGAATTTTGAATTTGTTTTCATGCGCAAATTTATATTACTAAATACTATATATATTAGTGAGGTCGGCTAAGTTCGGATCCTAAGTTCGTAATATTAGCAAATTGGGATGTGTCTAGTCTGCTATTAGAAATGTTTCACACTGCATTTCAGTTGCGGTGGTTGTTTTCATGCACAAATTGATCTTAATAAATAACTTGCATATCATTCGGTCGTAATCGCTGAGCATTGAGGTATGTATTGGTTTTCTATTGGGGCTATTTTCCTATTCCAAGAAAAAAGTCCCCCCCCCCCTCATTAGATTGCAGAACATCAATAATATTGAAATTCACGTCTATTTCAAAACAAAAAGGATGTAAACTGTCGGAATTTGAGTTTTCTAAAGGTGACCCTTTACCAAGTATAACTAATACATTTCAAAATGTACCTGAACAAATGAAGATATTTTACAGAGACCTGAGCGAAAGTTTTTAAATTACACATTTTCATTTTTTACATCACACACAACATTAATGATAACCCTCATAAACTATAATTGGAATTAAAACATATGTTTGAAGCAATTTTACAATAAATATTCTGATAATTATCATGAATATTTTATAACTCATTCTCTTAAAATTTTGTGATTATAGTAATATCTTCATTTGAATAGTCACTCCCCAGTACTTTCCTAAATGAATTGCGATGTATTCACATACAGTATTAAATACTTTATATCAAAGACATTCGAAAACATTGTCTGCGAAATGAAATAAAGTACACTGACTAATAGAGCGACAGTTGTGGCAAGATTAATGAAAGGCGTCTTAAACAATATCTCGTAGAAAATACTTTAAAACCGGCAAAATTATTTTTAAATTCTGAATTATTACACTGATTCATTTCACTGATACTGCACCATTCCGCAGTAATGATCAGTCATTAAAATGGATGTGTTTTTTTTTTGTTTACAAACGGTTATAACCTCAATCTTCGGAAATATTTCCAAAGGCCAACGCAGAAAAATGAATCAGCAACAGTTGCTTTAGTTAACTATAAAGATGATTATGATCGGTTAATGACACTGGAAAGTAAATATATAAGTAAATATATCACCTGTTACATTGAAAATGTTTCTCCGCAACACTTGTTTTCTAAACACTTTAATAACAACAGCTCCGAACCGCAGCACGTTTTGAATGCAACTGAATGAAACGAGAAAAAATGCTCCACGGAATAGATATCAGTTTCTGTAATGCGATAGCAAAGAGAAGGTAAATAGGTTGCGCCATCTTGTGAGGTATGTCCAAGGTTCGAGAACTGACAGAGCTGACCAGGATTCAATATCTGAATCGTATTAAAAGAAATCAAAAAGCGAACTATTTTCGCTTCTCCGTTCGTGTGTTTGAAATTTCTTTGATCCTGTTGTAGGATAACTACAGAAATATCAACTATCAGTGGGTTCATTAAAACCTACGTATTACTGACAGAATGAAAATCCCATTCTCAAGTACTTTAGCAAGGAAATTAGAAGTTTAAAATATGATTGTCGTAGAACTAATGTCATATATTTATTACACTGAGATAGACTAGTGAGGAAGAAAAAACAGCACTTGTTAAAACTATCCAAATTTTTATGAGTACATTGCACAGGTGTTAAGCAATTCTACGGAAAATAATTTTATTAAATCATTATTATTTGTTCACAGCTAGAACATGTAAGGGACGCGTACGGACGAAATAAATAGATTCCGATTGTGAAAATGGAGAAGTACACACATTTCAGTACAATCACAGACATTCTAATAACACAATTTTCGTAAGATGACGATCACTACTGTCAATATTTACATATTACCAATGGTTTATTCTCCTTCACAGATGTTTCCAGAGTACATAAAAAGCAGGTTATGGAAATAGGTCGATAAACAATCGCCGCTTGTAGAGTGGATCCCTGAGGGTCTAGACCTATATTCGACCGCGCTGCTTCTTACAACCTCCTTTGTTCCTAATATAGCGTTAGCGCCCGTGGGGCGGGCGGGCGGAGCGCTCGCATCGACGTCCACGCACGTAACGCAATTATCGCACAAAGCGCACAGCGCCCGCGGGGAGGGGGCGGGCGCCGACAGTGGGCCCCGCGTACACAACAAAATCAAGTTATCAGAATCACAAAATAAATAACAACAATAATTAATCATTTTGAAAGATAAATTTAAGATTGAATTAAAAAGAGTTCGAAACTGAAAAGTTAAGAACATTTTTAAAATGTAATAAATTATCAATGGGCAAAATCTTTTGTCTCAAAATGTATATATTCGGAGATAGAGAGCATTAATGATTGTTTAATCGAAATGGAGGTGCTGTTTTAAAGTGATAAGTTCGTGTAATTTTCAACCATTCAAATGTAGCTTTTGAGGTTTATTACTCTTTGACGAATCTTTAACCTTTCAGAGCGAGAGCCCTTTACCGCGCCTCATCCTGCTGATGCGGAATGATTTCGCGCACGGCTGTGCAGTGATGCACATTGTTCATAATAAACTTCTAGCAATACTACCTTATTACTTCCTAACGTATTGCGTGAATGTTTTCAATAATAGCTTCATTTTGTCACAGCACATAAAACTATATACAATTCTGGCACAAGGATAAGGAAGAGCATAAGAATCAAGAGTACTTAATAAAATTTAAGGACTTCACAAAACAGGACACAGCAAAATAGGATGAAACCATTTGTAGCTTAATTTTTTTTGGAAAAGGGAAGTTTTGATACATATTATATATTAGCATTCCCCGACAAATATAAACATTGAAATAAATCGTAAACATTAGGAACGATTAATGAAATATTTAATTGCATATTTGTGTCACAGAATACTTGGCATAGAACTCTATATAATGACAGAAAATTTGTCACAGAAGTCCATAACGTGACACAGAATACTGGTCACAGAATTCTATATTGCGATGTCCACTTCCACGCTGGTCGAAAGCGGCGTGAACTGCGCCGTGCGAGCGCGTGATATGGCGAGGCCCACTGCGCGGCGATCCGCTACGCCCCCCCCCCGTCCCAGGACGTCGTTAACCGAAATAAAGGCCGCTCAGGGCTGCGCCGCCTGTGTCGAGTGGCGCGGGCGCGACGCCGCGGGCACTTTCGACCACGGGCACGGAGGTGGAGGCGGAGGCGGAGGTGAAGGCGGAGGTGGAGGTGGAGGCGGAGGCGGAGGTGAAGGCGGAGGTGGAGGTGGAGGCAGACGTGAATGTGGAAGTAGCGGTGGGAGCGTACGGAGGAGGAGGAAGAGAGGGTGGAGGTGGAGGAGAATATGGAAGTCGTGTAGATGAAGTGGAGGAAGAGGAGGTGTATTTGGAAGTAGGTGGGGGAGGTGAAGGTGGAGAGGAGGCACGAGGGCGCGGCCGATGCGATCGGGTTAACGGGAGCGACTGCCCGCCGCGCCGCATCCTGCGCTTACGCAACGCCACGCGAGGAACAGGTGGAGGAGGGGGAGAGGTGATGACGGCAGAGGCAGAGTCGAGAGTGGTGGTTGCGTGTTTTTAAGGAATGAATTAGGTTTGCAACTTAAGTGAAGAAATAGCAATTAATTAAATCAATTAATGAAAATAATGTATTAATTTAAACGCAAACAATGCGCGAATTATTTATTTTTAATTAATAATATGAAATACAGACAGCAGACAAATTTCGTAAGTGTAAAAAATATGCTCTTCAAACAAGTTTAATCAATATTACCATATTTTAATTGAGATTAACTTTCAAATAACCATGAAGTAAAACCAATAAAAATAAGTGTCCCGAACTCTTGAAAATGCGAACAATGAAATGTATTGTAACAATATTTTAAGATTTGGATAAAAATGTTAAGTTCTTTATCACATATTTCTCTGCGCACGTACACGATAAGATAATTTCCGAATAACTACGGAATTGGGAATAGTATCCCAAAAAAGAATTAGCCACAAAGTAGAAAAACTTGTGGCACGTTGTAAGTGCATCTCTGCACAATTATGTAAAGAATTGCTGTACATTTTGTCTTAATCTTCATCTCTGACGTATGGTTGGCGTTTGAGGCTATTCGACCGTGCAAACACCGTTTGCGATGCGCGAAGCATTCATGACTAAACGGGATTCTCCAACGAATTCCCAAACAGTTTAGCACAGTTTGAGGAGAATCTGCGTTGCTGCGATTCATTCTTTCGCGGGACGGTTGTGCCCGCGCTCCGCTATGCGATGACGCTTCAAATGGCGCTTTGTTGCATCGAAACGTATCCGTCAAAAGAATACGTCGTGATGTGTCATTCGCCGTCCTAAACAGATTCTAGCGGCAAGCGCTCTGCGCAAGGCTGTGGTATCAAATCCGGCGAAAGGAATGGATGTTTTCACCTTGTGATTGTGGCGAGGTATGTGAAGGGAAACCACATTTAACAGTAGTCGATGCGAGCATGTTCTTGGGTATTCTTCTGTTGTTTGGGTGTAAAATAAAGAAAGAAATCTGGCCATACTCTCAAAAGTGTTTTAACCGATTAGGTACCATCGATAGAGAAAATTGAAATTGCATCCACCTCTGCAACATATTGCATTAATTGACGATGCGAGTCAAATATCAGTTTTCTTAGTACAACATTCCAGTAAAGATAAGTTATGGGGAAAAAATAAGATTTTGTCCTATGCGCATTTACACCGGAAGAAGTCCGTATATTAAAAGTGCTGTCTAAGGCATCTACCTCAATCAAAGAGGATTGATCAGCTCATTACGAAGGCTGCCAAAGAACTGGAATAGATAGGATATCGTGAAGGTCTATAGTTTGTGATGGAGATGCGGGTGCGGCGTCTACCTAAGATGTTTTGGAACAAGATCAATCAGCGAGCTTCTTATTTCTAGAATAATTGTTATCGAAAACTAAGCTTCGATCAATATAACAACTTTGCTGGCCTTCCGCTACCGTCTGAATTCGAACCTAGATTCTTTTAAATGTCTGAATGAACTAGCCGAAAGCACACGGAACAATGACTTGTCCCACAGCAATCGCTCTAACGTGTTTCGAACAGCCACGCAATATTTTTTATGCGCGTACTGTTTCTCTAATTATACCTGTCATCAATCCTTTCCACGTAGATAGCAGGGCTCGCTCAGCATAACTGTCTTAGTACAGCCACACAGCGGTCGCTCGCAACCAACGAAATCAACAACTTTTTTGAATGTGTTTCTCACGCTACACGCAGACCGCATCCCTCTTCCGTGCGCCGCAGACACCACACGCCGGCATCTTTCTTTCGGCTGCGATCGCCGTGGGAGGAGAAAGAGGGGCTGCGCGGTCGCATTCCTGGCGCGGAAGGGCGCGGGAGGGGGGAGGGGCGGGCGGATTCTGCCCAAACGGCGCTCTACCTGCCGCCCGGCTCCCGGCACAGCTCACGCCCCGCTGGACCGCTCATTAAGAGCGCTCACTCGGGGCGCGCGAGGACGAGAGTGTGGGCCGCGCTGTCCAACAACTGGTTGCGGTGCTCCGTTGGATGACTCACGTAATTGGGGAGCCAGGCGCCCCGGGTGTCGATTTTCGATCCTCGCGTAATGGTGGTTTATTGCCGCCTGCGGGAGGAGGTTCGACCTTTGTAATAAAATAGTTTTGCCTTACTGCTTGCTTGTGGACAGAAAACGTCCAGAGGCTGTGTAAATGACGCTTGTAAATTAAATAGCTACATCCGAGACGACAGAACACTGAAGTATTTATGAGTATTTACTTCTATCAAATCTTTTTTAGAATTCCACATATATGACAGAGGCAAAATTATTAATAATAGAATCATATTTTAAAGAATGTCACGTTGATGCTTCAAGATTATCAAAATTGAACTATAATTTATGATCATATTTCATTGCGTTTTTTCATAAACTAGCAACATTATTTTTTTATGCACAACCATAACCCTATTTTGTGCTAGAAATAAGAAATCCTTAAACTATTTATATTTCTTTCTTATGATTTATCAATTTAGTATTACTGAACTAGAGAAGTAAACATAAGAATGATAATATCTTATATAAATGAAATTACGTCTCCGTGAAAAAATGGAGATATGCACCTCTACCCTGGGGGCTATAAGAACAGGCAGCGTAGACAAAGAGTCTTTGTACCTCACTTTCTGAGTACTGGTATGGCAAATATGTGTGTTGCCCATTGTATACGGCCATTCTTTAAGAAGCACAAACCTTCTAGTTAATTTGCGTGCTACCAAACAATGATCCCTTATTTGAATAACTACCTTGCATAAAAAGTCCTCTGGTTGTTTTAATACCTCTTACAATGTAAAAAGGGTCAAACGGGTGAAAAAAACTACCATCCGTCCTGATTTCTAATGTATAACAGTATTTATTTTTAAGTATTTTCCGACATATTAAAGTAAATTGAAACATATTTTCAGTGATGAATCATGCGATTCAAAAGAATCCGAAAGAAATACTTCGTAAATGATCGAATAATTTAAATTTTGAAAAACGAAATGAAATTAATGTATAGAAGGTATTTCAAACAAAGAAAGGTTACATTGCTCTTTTAATTCTAATTTTGCACTTCATATGCTTGTAAAAGAAATCCGCTAGTCTAATTTTGAACCCAATCATACAAACAAGAATGAAAATAATTTATTTAATAATAAATAATCAAATATAAAGGGAATAAAAAGAACATTTGAGACACGCTATTGATGCACAATGCATTACCTTCCTGAATATTGTAATATAAATGCGTATATTTTAGTTATTTAAATGAGAAAGAACAGATTGCCTTACTCTTGTAATATTGTTAAACCAGAGGATTGGATAGCCTTTACTTTCAATCAAATTATGAAATTGTCCATATTAAAAACATGATCCCCCTACTTTTCCTCTTTAATCAACAGTACAGTAACCTATTTCTCCGGTATAAAAAAACAACGTTAAATCAAATGCAAGCACAACTCCTGACTTTTTGCGATTAGAATGCATGAAACGCTCATGGTGACTATTAGTTATGTCTTCGTGTAACGTTTCTTTGCTCTTGCGGCCTTTTTATTACTAAAAAAGTTAATATTAAAATACCAAAAATCTGTCTGCTACCAGTTAGTACAGAGAGAGAGTAAAACATATTTTAATAGGATACGCTTTAAATGCAGAACGAAAATTGATGAATGGGGAAGAAGGCGCTTGCAGTACCTACTGTAGAAGAAGCAATCGGTGAAAAGACTTTTCACAATTACGTGGAAGCTGCCGTATAACTGTAATTCAATATCACTTCTGTGCTGAGAAGGAAGTGGTGCACTAGAAGATTTTTTAAAGATTTTTATCAGTAGAACGGTCACCTTAAAACATACGAAAGAAAATGCTGTTGCGACCTTTGTCACCGAAAGCGAGCAGTAGCAGTTCATCTACCTCGTCTTCGGCTGGGTAATTGTACTTACGATGGTCGCAATGGAAACGTTAAAGTTTTGGTTAACTATTTGTAAATTATAGCTCGCGCTCGCGAGCCAGTTTGACTCGCAAATGCATGACGTGAGATTGTTATCTCCTTAGCCGCCTATTTGTGAGTAATAAAAACGTTAAGTTTACAAATCGTCAATTATCAGAGTGAATGCATAAAACGCGGATTCTAAACGAGATGTTTATATGCAAATCTTGTGAAGTTTATCAAAAAAGTTTCGGAAATGTAAAGAAAACACAAAAACAAACAAAAAGTTATATCTCTGATTGTATACAAAACAAAAAGAAGTGGAATATGAAAGTCAATATGAATCTTTAAGAACAGAGAGCTCCAAAATTACCCTTTATTGAATCTCGTTATTTACTTAATGCCTGGATAATAAAGGCTCCACTGGATCTTCGGATACAGTCATTCTAATACTTTTCTCGACTCTAGATCTTTTTGAGTCGCATTGACGACAGGCAATGTCAATATTTGAGTAACTTTCATAATTCTATTTACTGAATTAAGGAAAAAATATTGTGCTGACAAGCGGGTTGCAAGAGAATAAGGGGACGCTTTTTTACACTCGGAAGCTAGGAAACTAACTAGATTTAAATAATGTTTACTTCTTCTTACTTTATTTAATATTATTATTATTATTATTATTATTAGCTTGGTAGATCGAGTACATAATTACTCACGTTTTTTGCAGTGTGTAATATTTTACTAACGTGAAATCTTAACCAACCGCCTTTTTAACACATTTTTGACAGACATTCTAATCGTATGCATAAACGATTAATGATACTATATTAACTGCGGCAGTACACTTTATTACAACGGATACAATAATGAGTCATTTTATATAGTAAGGAAGCGATTACGTATATAATAATAAGCCATCCGAACACGTATGTAAACAGCATATACATCGATCGGGACAAAATTAAAGTTATTAACGTCATAAGGCAAATAATAACCGATGCTGTTAATGTTTGTAAATCGACGTACGTAATCGAGACTGTTTTTTGTATTATCGGCCGTGTGCGGTTCAATACTTTACAAAATACCAAGTTCTTATAAGGCAAAATATAAACAAGACATCCCATTTCTTGGAATAGAAAGAGCACTCATACGTTATCTTAGGTACAACTCATGTTGTTTCAATAGTTCTTAACGGACGGCGACTGTTAAAAAAGGCATTTCATTCCTCTCTTTGGTTGCGTTAAGGGTGTGTTATTATTACTTAGCATCCCCATCATTATTATATAACATCCCATTAAGGGCAAAGGCCTCCTGTTACAAGCCTCCTGAAACATTTCCTGCTTAGAAATTGTTAGGTAGGCCAATCGCCAAAAGATGAAATTTTCGCAATTTTTTAATTGTTATAATTAATTTTAATAATTCATAATTAAGTGTTCAACAACATTTTGTTCACACAGTCCAAACATCCTTTTATTATTCACAGTTAAGCGGTTAGCTTGTCTAAACTCAATACACGCAAATTAGAGTACAATTCCGTAGCACACAACTTTCGTAACTAATCTTTAAAGTTCACAATTATGTCATAATAATTTGTAGTCATTGGTCCCAATTAATCGGTTTTTATTGTTCTACTTTAGTCCAACTGGTTCGATGTGGTCCCGCGATTCATTCATTGTTCATTCATCTTGCGTTCTTATCTTCAGTCTTGGGATGGTTGATTCAGCGATTTCCAGGGGTTTCTGTTTTGTGGTAAATGTTGCTACCTTTTTAAATTTATCTCACCATCTTGTCGTTTGTCTTCCTCTAATCCTCCAACCTATTTTTGGACTCCACATTGTTTCTTCATGTGTCCATCTAAACTTGTTTTAGTCTTATGGCATGTCCGACCCAACGCCATTTTATTATGCCTCGCTAGGTCAATGCATTTAGAGGGACACTGGGGGACACTGGCACATGCACTTTTTGGTAATGAAGCTCGCGTTTGTTACCCTCTTTTCAGTTCGTGATCTTGGAAGGACTTCGTTTTAATCGATTGATTGATTTGTGATTCTGGGTGCGTCAACAGACATGGTCATTAGTCCAGTGAGTGTAATGCATGTAATGAAATGTCAATGTAATGTAAGTGTAATGCAGTGTAATGCATGCGGCGCCGACATACCGTCGGTTAACGGTATGTCACCATGTTTATCCCACCAGCGGGGCATCGCAAGCTCTAAGCTCCCGACCGATCTCCCGCTGTGTGTTATTGTATGTAGTGCATGCAAGTGTAAGTATGTGTAAACAAGGGAGAGTATAGGAGAAGGAAAGTTAGCGCGTGGTCCGTGGCCGGTTTGTTAGGGTGCTGTCCGGCATTCGTCTGGAATTGACCGGAGAAACCACGGAAATCTTCATATCAGAGCAGCCGGCCGCTAGAATTCCCCTCTACACATCAACTGAATCCGACCTAGCTCTCTAGCTAGTGTCGAAAATCCTGTCACCGTCGGGAATCGAAACTAGGACCTGACGGTCACAGGGACTGCACTGATATCAGTTGATACCCTGAGCCACCTCTCGCAGTGGGTTTTAATCGAAATATAGAGCGATTGTGAATGCCCCCTTAATGACCAAGTTCATACGTATACCAGAAGTATATTATGCGAAGGCTGCTGGATCTTGTGTGTGACGAGCGCGTGCTTTGGTTGTGCGCAGGGCGCGCGGGGCGACGCGCCGCTGGACTCCGCGTCGCTGCCGCTGGAGCATCGGGCCGCCTACGGCCCGCCCCCGCCCCCGGGCTTGGGCGGGCTGGGCGCGCTTGGCGCCCTGGGCGGCGGCCACGACGACCCCTGGCCGCTCGCCACGCCCGACATGCCGCAGATTAAGCACCTGCAGGTGCAGTGCGAGAAGACGCACATGCGCGTCAACATCGAGTTCGACCGCCCCTTCTACGGCATGATCTTCTCCAAGGGTGAGTGCACGCGCGGCCGCGCACGCGGAGCGAAGCGAAGACAAAGAGGAAGCACGATTTCAAAAAGAAAACCCTCAAGGTGAGATAGCGATGTTTAAATTTGTCCTTTTTCTAATTCTGTAGTTTCTGTTGATTAATGTTACTCATCGAGAGCATCGAATGTGTTGCTGGTTCGATAACAGGAAGATAAACTGTCCTAATATTGCTTATTTGTTTTATTTTTTATTCATGCGTTATTGCAATTATTACCACTTGTTCGATCCATGAAAACAGTACGTACTTGGTACACTAGTTTTGAAAGTGAAAATACATTCATACTGGACCAAACTTAGAATTGTCAGATCCTGAGCTTTACAGTATTTCATATTCAGATATTTTTACTGTTTTTTCGTTAAATAAATACAATCGGAATTGTGCGTGAGTAAATATTCTGATATTGCTTAGCGTTCATTTACAAACTGAAAGCCTTGGCTTCGCGATTACATTGTACAGAATATTAGTCTATACACAAATTTTACAAAGATTTCTAGATTCTGGATGTTTCAGACCAACTATGCAACGGAGTAGGTAGAGAGATGATCTTCAAAAAGTAATAGAAGGTGCAAATGATCTCACTTTGTAGATTGCAACTTAACACATTGCCCCAAGGGGACACAGAAACCATGATTTTCTTAAGGGTCGAGAAAGCGCCATTTTCGAGTTATACATGATTTGTGTAGCAATGTAACGTGAGTTGCATGTTACAAATGCGCCTGCAGCATTTTTAATATGCAACACATGTATCTTTACAGCACAAACTTCAAAGGTCTAAATTTAGGGTCTTAAATCTGTTTGATACACCATTAGGAGGTAGTAGCACATTTACGGGATTTTGTGTCGAGTCGGGATTTGTGTCGATAGTTTTAGATACGATATAGCATAATCATCATTGTGGCAATCCACAGGATAAGTTGATTTCGGCCCGTCATTTAAAAATCGTGTTAGAAAACGAAAGTTTCTGGGAAGCGAAAATATTAATGGGTTTTCAGATGTTGATAAGGATACATTTGATATTTTGTATTACCATCATTATTTTGAAATTCCTTAAAAAGTAGTAAACAATTTCCACAAAAAAGGGTTCTTCTATTTTTTGTGAAAGAGAGATTATTTGTAAACTTTCTTCAATTTAATAATAATCAACTGCGTAGTAAATTAATTTCAACTCTATCGCGTCTCTCCTCCAACAAGAAAGTTTAAACTTTCATTCATCGTGTATAACATATTCCAAAATGGTTAAATAAATTATTTTCGTCGAATATTTTTTTAAGGTACCTTGTGCAGTATGTGCATTAATTTTCTGTTAATGTTCAAGAACGTATAACAATTATAAAAAATGGTTTCATACATTAAAAAGTGCTTTAATTATAAAGTATTATTCTCTCATACTTTCGCAAAGTTGTGTAATGAATATTACTTTCGATAATTGTAACAAACAGACACTTACGCCGACCTCAAAGTTCCACATGGTTCAACGTCTCCTTTCTTCCGTTCCCACAGGCTTCTACAGTGACCCGCACTGCGTGCACTTGAAGCCCGGCACCGGCCACCTCAGTGCCACCTTCGAGATCTTCCTCAACAGCTGCGGCATGTCGTCGTCCGCCAACCACAACGCGGGCGCCTACGGAGCGCCCACGCCCAGCGGGTCCTACGTGGAGAACACCATCATCATCCAGTACGACCCCTACGTGCAGGAGGTGTGGGACCAGGCGCGCAAGCTGCGCTGCACGTGGTACGACTTCTACGAAAAGGCCGTCACCTTCAGGCCCTTCCAGGTGGACATGCTCAACGCCGTCACCGCCAACTTCCTCGGAGACAACCTGCAGTGCTGGATGCAGATCCAGGTCGGTGGTCTGTTCGTCTCTTTTCGGAGGGGGAAGGGCTTTCAAGCGTCAGCGTGATTGTCCAGAAGTTATAAGCGTAGGTCGTGTCGCACCCTGCTGAGATCGCGGAAAACAGTGTTGAAATGCCAACGGAATGGCGGTAGCCTCTTTCATGACTACCGAACAAACGTTCGTTTACAATATACGTGAAATTATAACCCAGTGCCGACTCTTTCATTCTTCCGTTCTTGATGCAGAACAGTCAATCACACGGAGTAAATATTTAGTCAATTATTCATTAAAACAAATATATTTTGAACTAAATGGTAATAATAACATCACAAAAACCTAAGTACATTTTTCATTGGTCCATTGAATTCACTTTCGTAAATTGTACTGGAGCATTTCAAATTCCAAATTATATTTGTATGATTTGTAAAAATTAAAGAGCAATGTGACCTTTTCTCTATCAAAGAATACAATATTTTAAACGCATTTTAATGACATAAATTTTAAAATGTATTTCACTATATACAGTTTGGTATGTAGCTTTTCAAAAGAGTGCTAACAATGCTCTTGTGAATGGATTGAGAAAAATTAGATACAGTTTTGCAGTATCAAAATATTTAAAAAATCCAGTCGAATAAACGAATGGATGTGATCAATGTGCATATTTTCTTCGATTAGCTCCCTACTTTAATAAAAAAAGTATATTGTTATCTCCAATTAGCCCGATTATTGGAATCACGTTCTGTCGTTGCGCAGGTGGGCAAGGGCCCGTGGGCCTCCGAGGTGTCGGGCATCGTGAAGATCGGCCAAACGATGACGATGGTGCTGGCCATCAAGGACGACGAGAACAAGTTCGACATGCTGGTGCGCAACTGCGTCGCGCACGACGGCAAGCGCGCGCCCATCCAGCTGGTGGACCAATACGGATGCGTCGTGCGACCCAAGATCATGAGCAAGTTCCAGAAGATCAAGAACTTCGGGCCCTCCGCGTCCGTCGTCTCCTTCGCCTACTTCCAGGCCTTCAAGTTCCCCGACTCAATGAACGTGCACTTCCAATGCGTCATCCAGGTAAGGAGGGGTTCCTTTTACTAGTGACGATCGGTAATAATTAAAATTATTTATTTAATGTCATGGCAACGTCTCGTAACCAGGAAGCCATAATGATGCCTTACATTTCAAACATGTGAATAGCAGATATTTAAAGACGAACGATATTTTCCTTGGATCTTCGCTGTGGTACTAACTGTGTTGTAAGCAATGGCACAGGGAGTATAGGAATTTAATCAACATGACGCACAATATGAGAAGAAGTGGATTAATACAATTAATTACTTTCATTATTGGGTCCAAATCAAAGCTGCTTCATTGGTTTTGGATGAGTTCCTGAGTATCTAATTAAATTACAGACTTCCCTCTCATAACTGGAGGATGCGTATATTCGAAATTAGTATATTCATTAATTTAAAAAAACTATTATAGAAACAAAAAGTAAGGTAATTACAAATAATATTTTGACAATAAAATGTAACAAAATTTTCTCAAATGCGTTAACTGACTAAAGATGTACTATTCTACCAAAGGTCTATCTAGTAATCTTTTCTCGTAGCGTTTGATTCCTTTAGCCCAGGATATCATATACGGAAATATGTTTAAAAAATCAGTGACAAGAAATGCATTACATTTCATTAAACGTAAACAGAAGCATTCCCAAATGCTCATAACATTATTAAATTGCGATAACCTCTATTTAATGATTTTCCCAGTGTTCTTACAATTAAAAATGTGCCTGAGTAAATAAACTTTATCGCAACAATTCTACGTACAGCATGAGTGGTCCCCATTGTTGTGATACTGAGTAACGGGATAGCAGTTTATGAGTCATTCTTTCTCCAATTTTACGGCCACCACGTCCTATTAACTTCCCAAGAACGTCTACTTAACGCTTCACGGCACCCTTAGAGAAGAGCGGCACATTCAGGCGATAAGTACAACCTGGCAAGGAAAACAAGACACCCGTGATATAGGCACGCAACGTCCACAGACCTTTCTACACTAATCAGTCACGCGTTCCTGCCTGGCGCACAATTTAGAGCCTGAGAAAGGGCGATAGCAAGTGCCACGTTCACTGCCTCGAGAGTAGTGAGAGCGTGTCGACCTGGGTACACAGCGTTTCAACTACGTCTTTACGAATTGTGGAGAATCAGCTAGGCTAGGTCAAGAATAATTTCGAATTCTCAGCCTCCACAAACGCACTTTCTTAAAGAATCAAGTTAAGACCTTGTTCTTGGATAAAGATTACACCGATTTAGGCCGTTCATTTTCTCTAATTGCAATTGAATGATATAACGCCTTTTCACACGTTGTTACTATTGTCCATAAGTAGACAACTAATATTTATCAAATTTTCACATCATTTAGTATTAAGGTAGGAGAAATGCTATTACATTCCTTCGCCTTTGGATTTATCTTTCCAATGCAATCGTTAGATGTTACACAGCCCTGTAAAATTCAAGTCGGGGGAATCTTCCTTAACCATGATCATGGTATCGGAAATGTAATGCTTGGCTCGAAACCGTAAAGATTTAGTGTTTAATTTCATTTTCCTTGTAACACTTGGGAACATTTAGAACGTACATGTAATGTGTAACGTGCTATGAGATCCACAATAAATTCAAACACATAGAACTAGAAACTGTGATATTAGACATATTTTAGACTGTTTTAGACGTCCGGCTCGTAACTGCATGTCACGAAGTACTCTGACTTCGTCCTTCAAGGAAAAGCATTTTTGTTAATTAAGCATTACGATAATGTAAAACCTAAATTAATTACAATAATTCAACTGAAGTGCTTCTCTTCTATAGCTATTAGTCCCAACATTATTCCGCCGCTTCTTGCCGCTCCGTTATCAAAAGCAGGAGGCTTCAACGCGCGTGCTTGTGCGCAGGTTTGCCGCTACAACTGCCCCGAGCCCAAGTGCGGCGGAGGGGCGCTGGGTCTGGAGTACGGCGCGCCGGGCTTGGGCCTGGGACACGGTCTGGGAGGCGACTACTCGGGCGCCGCCGGCAACCTGCACTCCGAGTACGGCCCGCCGCCGCCGCTCGGCGAGTACGGCGCGCCCGCTGGCTACCCCGGCGTCGACCCCCGACACCCGTCAGGCCCTGCCGGCGCGTACTCCGAGTCCAAGGAGACGGTGAGAACAAGCTCGCACGCAACCACACACTTCGTGCGCCACTTTCAAATGCGATGCGCCGAAACATTTTCCTCGTGAAATAATCATTATTGAATCTTTACTCAACCAAGTGCAATACATTGTTTATTATTTTTTGATCAGAGATTCATGAAAATAATCTGGAAATCTAATGCGATGAGGATGAAATATTTTTAAATAACTTATTTAGCCGTTACTCTAAAATAATCTGCTTCAAAGATGTTCTTCCAAACGCGAGTAATGTCAGCAATTTTAAATGGAAAATTATTATTAATATTAAATCAACAACGTTACAAATAACTTTGCTTAAACTGCTAAAGGTTACTTGGTTTTGCCATCAATACCAAATATATTAAATCTGAGAATATTTCGATACTTGAATTATGCGATATCGCTCATTCGCATGGGCCTCCCGTGCTTAGTTCAATCGCAACAAAACCGAATCTTGGAACCACCACCGTTTCCGCAGTCTCACCGTCGCTTCCCCTCGCAGGTGGTGCGCTCGGACCAGCAGCCACAGGCGGCGTCGGGCGGGCCTTCCACGTCGACGGGCCGGCCCGAGTCGTCGGGCGCGCAAGCGGCGGCGCTCAACGGCGGCAACGGCGGCGGCGCCAGCAACAGCGACAACGAGGTGCACCTTCCCCCGCCGCCGCCGCCGGGCTTCCACGGCGCGTACGCGACGGTGGCGGCGCAGAAGCGCAAGGGCCAGGGCCCCGAGGACGGCAGCGGCGGCGAGGGCGCCCTCGCCGTCATGGGCGCGCGGCCGCGCTCCGTCGAGCTGGACCTGCAGGGCGCGCGGCGCCGCCGGCACGCGCTGCCCGTGCTCGACGCGCTCCACCAGCCCGTCTTCGTCGTGGCCACCAGGATCTACAAGCGCGCCGCGCAGGAGATGACGGACGTCAACGCCTCGCGCGTCATACAGGTCAGTGCTCTCCATTTATTTCATTCATTAATTTAACATCCAAAACAGTGAAAAACTATGCGAAAGCTGACGTACTATGGGAGAAAATGCACTCTGCGGGTTCGTTTTTGTATCTCTGGAATCTGTACCCTAGCTCTTGTACTATTTTTTTTTTTTTTTTTTTTTTTTTGTATAAAACAGGTAGCAAGTGCTTTGTTAGCAAGATTTGATAATAAGAAAGCTTCAGTGTAATAAAAAAATACATTTTCAACCGCAAAAGAGCTACAAATTTTGTCTCTTCCAGATTTTACCATTTGAAATACAATAAAATATGGAATTATTATTTGTATTGCCAAGAACAATGAAGTAAATTACCGCACTTATTTATTTATTTTTATAAAGATTAGAGCATCGATAAAATCAATCCAGTTTGTTAAAATAACAATTTAATCACAATTATTAATTGGCCAATAAAATGTCGCCGCAGAGATATCGTACGCCGAACAAAATTACTGACGCGAAAAACATGAAAGCATTCGCTTTGTGATTGCATTCCGAAAGACTTAGGCTAACCATCGCATTTTCTACCGTAATATAAGAGGCATTAATTGACACACATTACTTTCTTCCTCGAACATACAAAACTGAAAACAAGATAATTAATAAGAGGACAGTTTGCATCACAATGTAGGGGTTTCTGATTAATTTTAAATAATTGAAGTTGGCCTTCCATAGGTAAAGTCCTCGCATCACAAAACACAACGCGATTTCTCCATTGCTGCAACGCAATGGTGGGATGAAAATGATATTACTGAATATTGGCATCCAGAGTCGCATTAGGAAGAAGCGAAGACAACACGTATCCCGGACGACGTGTCGAGGGAGATGTCGGGGACGGGCACTTTCTTCATATTCCTATTTAAAAGACGGAATAAATATGTGTTGCGTAAATCAACAAGAGCTTCTATGAGGTCTCGCCCTTCGCTTCCTTCGTCATGCTCCTGAAAACATATTACAATTAATAATATTAAGTCATGCATGCCTTTAACAACCATCTTGACCGTTTCTAGCAAAAAGATTTTGGGTATTTTGCACTTATTTTTGGGGTGCTAAATCTTACAAAAACCATTAGGAAAAGGACGTTTGGAGAGGAAAGAAGCGAATATGGCGATTCTTGACTCTTGCCGGGATGGCAAAAAGGATATCTCCGTCAATACATTAAATTATATTATGTAGTAGACTGAAATTCTTCCAGAAATCACGACAAGCGTTGCCCGAACGCAAGAACAACCCGTCTCGAAGTTCTCTCGGTAGAGCATTCCACATCGGTTATGAGAACCGCGCGTGTGAAATCATCAAAGGCATCCTCCGCGCGAGAACACGCACTTGTGACGTCGCGACGGCGGCGGCGGCGGCGGCGCAGCCACGAGGAAGGAGAAACGGGGTCAGGAAAGGAGGCGGATGGGCGCAGGCCGACCGGTTCCACCTTCTCCCGAAAGAGAGTCGATAAAACCGCGGTGGCGGCCGAGTCCCGGATACGCGTGGAGGACCCGGTCTTTTCCTCCTCCTCTTCCTCCTTCTCGTCGATCGCTTATCAGCGCGCGGCCCTAATGTCTTTTATCGCCCTTCGGCTCCGCGCTAGTCGGACTGTCTTCGGGCGGCACCCAATACACTCACTTGGGTTCCGGTCGAGGAATAATGACCGCTGGGAGATGTAATTGTTGACATTTGTGTGTGGGTGTTCTACCAGGGGGTGTGGCGTGATTTATTCTGAATGGAATCCAATATTCGAAATCCCACTTAGGAAATGAGAATGGGTGGTGTGTTGTGTTAGGGTGTAAACAATGTCGAGCATGGAGATGGGATGAAGAGTCGAAAGGATGGGTGTTAAAAACCAGATTTTAAGATCTATATATTAAGGGCAGAAACGAGGGGAGGGAAAGATTAGAGGCAGATATCTGAGGGACAGAGAGATGGTGAGATAGCCGTGTAGAAAAAATTGAGGTCAGTGATGCAGGTGGTAGTTAAAAAGGATGAAGGTTCATAAGAAACGATCAAATATTACACAAGCTTAGTATTTTTCCTCTAAAATCCTGGATCCTTCGTCTCACAGATGAATTTTGGCTTCCCTCTCTTCTTCTCCCACTTATACATCTTGGAAAAGCAGTTATTACTTTTCCAAGAATTAAATCACAAAATTCGAAGAACCTCTTACATCCTCCATACTTACCATTTCTCTTCGCATCTATTAATTATATAAATGTTCATGTATTATGTTATATTTATAACTATTGTTTACTTTTAATGATGATGATAATTAAGGTTTACGGGCGCAGCGACACCTGAGGTAATTGGCGACTGAATAATTTTTAAGATGATTATGATTCTCCAAAATCGAACTAAAAAATGCTACTTACACATGTCAGTAGCAGGTTTAGAGATTAAGTTTTATGTATCTTCTCACTTGCTATTTCATTTTAACGTCGAACAAGGATTAATTTTTTAAAGCTGTACCGACATGACCACATAAGCAGGATAATTATCGAAATCCCCGATTGAAACTATCCGTGAGATTGTCCGCGAGCGAAAGCGCAGATAGAGATGAGTGGCTGTGTTGCAGGTTGTGGCGCCAGGCGACGTGAACTTCGCGCTGGGCGGCGCGGCGGCCAACGAGACGGTGGTGATCCAGTCGGCGACGGACCCCGAGCACATCTGCATGTCCGTGCCGTCGTTCGTGGGCGGGCTGGTGATGTTGCTGCTGGTGCTGGTGGTGGCGTGTCTGGTGGCGGCGTTCCTCTTCGTGCGTGTGCGCGCCGTTGACCGCAAGGGCGCGGCTGCCTTCGGGCCCGTGCACCACGCGGCCTTCGAGGGCGCCGAGTTCGTCAAAGTGGCCAACTGAGCTCCCGCACGACGCAACGCACCGACTGAGAGACAGCTCCCCCCCTGAGGCCGGCGTCGTCCGGCCCCGCTCCGATGCCACAAGGGCTCCTTTCTGCCCGCGCTAAGCGTTCTTAGCGCGCGTTGAAACGCCCGGCCCGGCCCGGCCCGGCCCGGCCCGGCCCGGCCCGAGCCCACGCCCGCGCTAGCGCCGACGGGAGGCCGCGGCGCGCGCGCGCACTCGCGCCCGCAGCCACTCCCCGTGCCAGGCCCAGGTCCAGACTAAGCCCAGGCCCAGGCCCGCCGCCGCCAGCCAGCGCCGCTCGGCTGGCCGCGCCTCCTCCGGCGGGCAGGCGGACGGGCGGGCGCGCGCAGCCGCCCGCCGCGCCCCCCGCCGGCGGGCGAACCTTCAGGGCGGCCCTCGGGGACGGCGGCCACCCCGCCCCGGCGCGACCCCGCGCCGCCCCCTCCTCTTCTCCTCCTCTGCACCTCGCCGGCCTTCGGTTTCGGAGCGAACCCCGAACTCCACCGCCTCCCGCCCCGCTCGCTCCGCACCCGCACTCGCACTCCTGGCAGCACCCGCACCGGCGCCCCGCCGCCAGCCGCCCGCTCTCCCGCACGGCTCCCACCCACCCCCTTCACGCCAATCACTCGCTCACACTCACCCCACTCCCACTCCCATCGTCGCCCTATTAAGCATTTAATTTATATCCAGAGTACAATCCCCGCACCGCACCCGTCTCGCCTAACACCGCGGCGGCCGCCGACCCCCCCCCCCCCCGCGCTGCGCCGCGGGTGGGGCGGGCGGGCCGTCGCGCCTAACGCCCATCATGCACCCTTAATTTATGACCTTAGTATCTTAGCGAATCTTATTATTTTTGTATTTATGCGTATGATCGGTCACCGGCCCGGCGCTCCACCGCGCGCGCCGCCCCCGCGCTCGGGGCGATCGCCCGGGGCGACGCGGGCGGCGCGCCGGCCGCGCAGGCCTCGCTCAGGGACCCCGCGCCCGCCCCGCGCCCATTCCATTGCCCAGACCCTCCGCCTGGTGACAAGCTACCAACTAGTGAACAGAACTGTACCGACTGTATATATTTATTCACTAATTAAACTATTAAGTTACAATGTTTCTTATTCTTTTTCGTGATTCCTTTCAATGCCATGCGCCTTGGATAAGGTTTCCTGATGATCCATGTCAATATACCTTTTCCAAATGCAGCACAAACATAATTTTACATTAGATATAAAAATAGATTTGCTTTCTTATTATCTGGTAATAGAAATATTAACAATTTGAAACAATTTTATGCCTTGTATATTAGACGAACGTGTAGACCTTTTATGTGATAAACACGTCAAATTTCGGCATATGCGCTGAACTAAGATCGTCTCAATTTCATACATCTCTCAAAGGTAATATTTTCTGTAATTGTTTTTCATTAATACACGTATAATGATTGTCCAAAAAAGAATGAAACTCCACTCTTCTACGAGACAGAACATGTCATATTCTGTGCACGTGCTGTAAGAGTCGTTTGGAAGGACTGAGGAGTTGAAGAAAATGGATACCAGTCTGCACTATCTGCCTTTCAGGCGGATATGCTCTTCTCCCGTGCCGCCGGGTTCTCTATCTTTCAAGAATTCGAACTCGCACACCACTGGTAAGTTATTTCGAGCGCAGCGTCGCTTCACAAGGTTCCACGTTTAGAAGTATTCAAATCCTCGTTATCGATTGGCAATTAGATATTTTTGCACACACCTCTCTCTTTTTTTTTTCTTTGCTCATTTTTGACTGCCGCTATAATTTATCGTCAATTGTCCACCATTTTCATAAAGTTCTTCACTGAGGAGTGGGCGAGTTTTCGTATTTCTCAGCGCGGGCACGTTAGCGGTCTCAGCTTCGGTCAATGGTCACGTTAGTGTAGTGCGTGTTATAGCAGGGAGATAGCTGTTTTCCTCCTCTCGCTGGTACATCAAAGCAGGCGCCGACCTCCACGTCGGCTAGCGGGGTTTTTCCTCCATGTATCTCCCCCAGTGAGGTACCGCCCTATTTGATATAAGCTCTAAGCTCCCGACTGTCCTCCAGACATATGTGGCAGTGTTGTGCATATATGTGTACATGTGTGTAAGGAAAGGATAAGGACAGGCAAGGAAGAGAAAGGAAAGATAGCCCGAGATCCCTGGCCCGTTTGTTAGGGGACTGCTCTGATATTTGCCTAGTATTGTTAGGAGAAACTACGAAAACTACCGATCAATTCTTATGAATACTGTGATTGAATACAACCATAGCAAGTGACAGCAAGTATCTAAAATCCGCCATTGACGGAGCGCGTATCCTGTGACTTCCCTGTCAGAAACGCTACAGTGGCTACTGAGACATTATTGACAATGTCGAATACCGTTCAGCAAAGTGGAATTGCAATTACGAACATACCAACCTTAAACGCAATAATCAATATTTCGACTAAAAGATTCAGATCTTCACATTTCCAAAAGTTTGTAATGGAGTTTTACTTACATAATGTTGAAATGCACATTAGTAAGTCGAAAGAAAATGCATGTGGTTTCCGAAGTTCGCAATTCATGAACGAGTTCAATAATATAAAAAACAGTTCTCAAACGTAAAAGTTAAAGAATCGCTTATTATTAAATATTCTCACACAGAGGATGGTTCTCATTTAACCTTGCTGCTACGTAAACGCGAAGAGAAACGTATTAAAAATCCAAATCGAAAGAAGTGAAAACATATGAGGGACATACGAAAACGTTCATATCCCACAACTCACCGATTCTGGGAAAATGGTGAACAATTATCGTTTCTCTTCGAACGCAGATCGAGAGTTTGTTAACGTACGAGTACCCGCCTTCGCGATCGCGTAAGTTTCAGTACCAACTTGGTTCTTGACCCTTATGTAGACGCGCCGGTACAATCATGGTACTCATGGACATTCATTCTTCGCAGAATGAATCGCATCAGTTTCCACACTGATTCTCTTTCAAGAAAACATTACTGATTCTTTCAACTACCGCTTATGTAATATTACTCCTTAATTCAATAGTCACTGGCATAAACTTTGCTAAAACTTATCCAAATATGTAATATACATTTAACTAACTTGTAAATAGAACATAACTGGCCGAAGTTAATTTTTTTGCGTAAGCTGGTATTTGTTATTTTGTGCATAACAAAAACTTAAAATTCGTCTTGTGGTAGGAAATATTTGGACTTTCTACCACGCCATTTCTCATTGTTTTTATAGGCTGCTCAAAATATATAAGTCACTTCACTTAATAAGCATACAAACTCTATTCATACAATTAAATATTAAATTTGAGTTAGTAACGTAATAACTTTTACTTTTAAAAAGGAAAGGAGTAATAGAGTTCGTTGTTTTTTTATTATGATCTTAGGCTTTTTTTTCTAAGAACGGTGATAATAAACAAGTATGCCGAATTAAGGAAGTGACTATCTTTGATCTGTGTTTACTCATGCATTTTTCTTCGACAATTGGCATGATCAAGTTTTCCCTTAATCTCGCTCACGCAGGAGGCAAGGATTGCAGAAGTAGGAATCCACTCACGCACTCGTTGGAGAGATCCTTCCCTGCTCATCATCTCCTCAGCGGGAGGCTTCCTCTGCAGAGGCGGCGCCGCTTCGACGCCCGGCCAGGGCGGAGGCCCTTTGTGCTGCGGCAGAAAGCGTGACGCGGCCCGACGCGCCGACGCCGAAAGCGGGCCCCGACCAAAGCCGGGAAGGAAGGAGGACAATAGCGCAGCGACTGTTCCGGAGAAAGGCTCCATGTGATGGAACACTCCAGTGCATCTCGCAGAAAAAGCATCCCTCGTACTCCGTCGTCCTTGCCGTCGTGTTCCTGGTGTTCCGCGCATGTCTAGTCTACAGATATCTCTACAGGAAGTTGTGTCGTCTTTAAAGAAATTCGTGGTTTTGTGGTTGGAGCCAGCAACTTCTGTCACTACCGACACTTCATCCCGTTCGGTCACTTCATCCCGGGCGATATATTTAGAGAACATGCAAGGGGATTCGTTTCTGGAGTTACATGTTTACTGTCTCTCTTGCTTTATTTTCGTCAATTGTTCTAAAATTGCGTACAAATCTGTCACAAGCTCAATAACCGCCACGAAAAACATGCTATTTGAAGGATTATTTCAGAACATTGTTTTCTATTCTTTTTTTAGTTTCTCCTTTTCTTCAACCATCTCAGCAAAACAGTATCACCTAATGAAGTCTGATAATGTTTGTTGGAGTCGAAATATCTTCCCATGCAAATGGCCACATTCCGGTCATTTATCGGGTATTTCTCTGAACGTTTTCATGTGAACTTGTTGATTGTGACAGATTTTCACAAGGCCCTTCCTTCGTGGTAGGCTTTAATTGGTTCTAGGTTGAAGTCGTAGATCATTATTTGCATTCGATTTTCAGCTTCACCTTCGGGCAATTTTATGAAAATTATGTGATGGTTTTGTGATTTCATGTTATTTTTGGATATTCCATTTACTATATTTTATCGTCTCTTGACATTAGAATTGACTCTTGTAACAAAGAACGTTCGTTGCTATCCGTTCAATTCGGTAAAAGCCCTTCTCTAAAAACCTGGATTAAACTCCAGATGTCAGTCTTTAAACGTGTCGAATAAAACTGAAATTACAGCAGGTTCTCCAGTTCTTCAATTTTTTGTTGGAATATATTATTTTAGATATTTATATTTATAATTATTAAATATCTCCTCCACCGTCTATATACTTACAATTATATGATATCAAAAGAAGCTCCAAATCTTCCAAAAATCTTCTTGATCTTCGCCATAGAAAGTCAAAATTTTAAACTAGGTTTATCCAAAGAAAAACATACCGCTCTCATGTAAAAGTTTTAAAACATTGTCACGAATAATATTTTCAGTATTTTCCCTTACAATTGCAATGGCAACTGCAATTGGAAAGTGATCTAAGAAGCGAGTAACATCTCCAAAACGCTGTGCTTCCGACACTAAATTAAATACGTAAAACTTCCCGTGAAACATCCCCAATATCGTAATTTCTTTCATATTTAGGGCAGCTGGTATACTCAGGTAATTAGTAGTCTCTTCACGCAGGGCCGGGTGCAGCAACGAGTAGGAATCAAGTCCGCAGGAAGCTTCTAAGGAGGTCCAGAATCTTGTTCCGTTCCAGCAACTGGATCTGGGTCGAGGAGAAATTTTTACCTCG